AATGATATCTTTAATTCTCTAATTTTGGTGAATATTTTTGTAATTTTTGGTAAAAAGTGATATTTTCGACTTCTTGTTGAAAACCGCAAGTCCAATTGCTTTGATATACTATACATATAGGTACTACATGTGGACCTCTCTCAGATTTGTTCATTTTCTAATGATATCTTCTGTTCTTTAATTGCCATGTGCATTGCTAACAGTGGAGCTATCTCAGCCGACAGGCTGCTTGTTGACAGATGTGTTTGTTTTTTTTAATTGACAATAATATAATACATGTATACATGTACGCTATGTATTAATTTTTTTACTACAATGACTTTTGCCTAAACTTTTTGCCTTTTGGCGCCTTTTCTTTATATTCAATATTTCTGGACTTTAATTTTCAGCCAATAGACAAAATTTAAGTCAATTTTCAGTTTTTACACGAAAAAATTCAGCTACTTTTGTCCCAATCGTCTGAAGGAAAGAGCACACTATAAACGGGACTATTTTGTGATGAAAAGAAAGAACTGATGGTGAAAACGTTAAGCAATACATTTTCCTGACGTTTATTTTACCTTTCTGTAAATGGTGTTTTAGAAATGTAGAAATATTCCCTAAAATAAATTTACTACTGAAAAATATGATATAATCTCAAAACTAAACATGAATCAGGTCCAAATTGAATATGAAATGCACGATATTGAAACATTTCTTAGATTGTCCAATTTCACTGGAAAACATGGGCTTCCCCATTGAAAAAATGCTGTAAAAATAAGATCTAGTACAAACACTGTTTACTGTAATATAGAGCATTGCCCTCTGGGTAAATACAGGTCGACACAGGTGAATATAATGGTTGAAGAGTTGTAATATCCCACCTCATTACAAAACTATTATGCTAAACTACTGTGGAATATTTTATTTTAGCTGGAATTAATTTTCACTGAAAAGGCTTTTTGGGCATTTTGTATGGAATATATTTTTCACTGATTTTTGATGAGTTTAATGTGAAATATAGGGAAAAAAAGTATATTGCTGGATTTTATTTTCACGGAATCTTCCCTTCAGCGAAAATAGCGAAAATAAATTCCAAGCGAAATAAAGTATTCTACAGTAATTCCATCAGTATGATCTTCACAGAGCACATGCCAGATCTGAACTTATCATGTTGTGTATCAGTAATACAGGCATGATGGCGCTGCGCTCCTGTTCCCTTGTTTAAAAAAAATCCCTGGTAATGCAGGCACTATGATATTGCTAATGTATGTGTGTATATAGTGTAGTGTACTGCATGTTGTGTTCTTTATTGTATGAAATTAGTCAACTAAATGTAGTCAAACATGCGCTTCTCGATTGTATGGAGACATGCTTCTATTTGTAATACAGTAAATAAAGTGTTTTTGTGTCATATGACTGTTCCCAACGTGTATCACCGCTGTCTCTCCTGATTTATTACATGGTATGTGCTGATGCAGCATAATGTACTGGTAGTTTTTTAATGTCTGAGAGATGATATTCCTCATTCATGTGAATATGTGACAAGGGGTGTGACAGTGTAACATTATTCCTAACATACAATGTATCATTATGGTAATTTAAGACTCTATCCTACATCAACCATGCCTGGTGGAATACAAGCATAGAACACATTATCTAAATGATAAAACCGTGAATTTAAAACCCACTGAATATGTCTGAAATGGTAAATCAGTGAAATTTAAACCCAGTGAATATGTAAAATTTAGTATAGAACACATTATCTAAATGATAAAACCGTGAATTTAAAACCCACTGAATATGCCTGAAATGCTAATTCAGTGAAATTTAAACCCAGTGAAAATTAATCATTTTACAGTAGCCTTTTTATAGTCTGCTGTTATCTTCAAAAGGTTGGGACTAAAAAAGACAATTTTTTTGAAACAAAATTGACTGTTGGCTCTGAAAATTAAGGTTTTCCAGAAATTTTGAAGAGAATGAGAAAAAAGTGCAGAAAGATTTGGGTGAGAATGTCTGGTGGTGAAATGTTAATGTTTCCTGTTTGATACGGTAAAAGCCATACTGTAAGTCAAGCTGGAGTTGGATAAAATAGTTTTCATTCTCTTTAATTAATGTTTTATTATTGTCATTTGCAGGGTGCCAGGGTATGGGTACGTGATTCTGAAGAAGTATGGGTTGGTGCAGAAGTTGTTCAGGATTACAAAGGGAATGAAGTCAAAGTACTTCTGGAAGGAGATAGAGGGGTAAGAAGACACTGTTTCTTTGTTATTGTCGCCTTATGTCCTTAAGGAAATGTATTACTGTAAAATACTTTATTTTCGCTTGGAATTAATTTTCTCTGAACGAATGATTCCGTGAAAATAAAATCCAGGGAATATACCATTTTCCTATATTTTACATTCAACTTGTCAAAAATCAGTGAAAATAAATTCCATACAAGACACCCAAAATGTCTTTTCAGAGAATTAATTCCAGCTAAAATAACGTATTTTACACTACCCCCTTCAAATTCAAAGTTATGTACTGACTGGATTTTTTTACCACTTGTGGACTTCTGCGTGTGAAGCACATCTTAGTGTGTACCCTGTCTGTGCGGCATATATTCATTCTCTTGCAGCATGTAAAAAAAATAGATATCTTTTTCGGTATAGCGCCCTCAATGTTATTTACTTGTTTTACTTTGTTTTTTTTCTAACCATTTATAAAGTTGTTGCAGAGTATGCATGTTTTCACAAACTGTTTTGACTTTCATCCTAAATAGTTATAATAAACTACAATCAAGGTTAATTCTTGTATATTTCAGGAAAAAACCATCGTAGTTAAATCGGACACAGAATTACCACCTTTAAGAAATCCAGACATATTGGTTGGTAGAGATGATCTCACATCGCTAAGTAATCTACATGAACCTGCCGTGTTATATAATCTTAAATATAGATTTTTACAAGAGGGAAATATTTACACATATTGCGGTAAGTGTAGTATTCTTGTCATGTTAGCATGATAGGTTCTACCAACTCTTGTTCAAACAAACGCTCAGAATGCCATTACATGTATAAGGAGAAGTCTATTTTGTAAGTGTTATATAGCATGCCCACAATTACCGAGGGACTTTGCAACATCCAATTTCCTGGACATTCCAATGACCGTTGTAGACGCAATAAAGTTACACAACAGTTAATCAAAACACCAGATACCATATGCCTTTGATGTTTGACCACGAGGAACAAGGGGTAGTTGGAATATTCCATTGCTTTGTAGGTACAAAAATCATTGCTTTGTAACACTTGGAAGAAATATAATACGAACATAAAACTGGGAATAAATATTAACAAGAAATAATAAATGTAAATTCCTTTGATTGGTAGTTTGTTTAGATGTTGATAATGGATTTATATAATTATAATATTAGCGTTGTGAGTGTTTCGTTCATTTTTTCGCATAATGGCTGGTCCCATTGCCAGTTTGCCAGAATACCCGTTGCTCAGTCAATTTTTTCCTGGAATCTTGGAATGATCTCAGATAAAATTCGATAAACTCAACGATTTCTTGTGTAACATTCAGTCGACGACAGCCACTACTCCTCTTGGAACGTATCCAACTGATGGGACAGAAATGCCGCACAATCCCTTGAACTGTTGCCCTCGCTAGTCTTCCTCTGTCATTGATCATTCGCAAGAGACGAATAATCTCCATCTCAGTGTTGTCTAAACGCTTTGACATAATAGCAATAATTGAACGCACATATGTATGCATGAATTAATGTGTCCGATATCAACATGAATTGTTTGATGAATGTTTGACTGATAGCTTACAAGTTGAACCCATCTGAAACCTTGTTCTGTTTTGACTAACTGTCACGTAGGCGGGTATGTAACTTTATTGCATCTACAACGGTCACTGGAGTGTCTAGGAAAGTGTCTGGGGATGTTGCAAAGTCCCTCGGTAATTGCCTACCGGGTGCGGGAGTTACGTATATGTAAATATATTGCGCTCGCTGTAATTGGTTGAAAGGTTGACTCATTTGTATTCTCGTTAAATGAGACTTTTTATGGAAATTATCTGTTGAAGGCTTTTAATCACCAGTTCCCTCTTTTCATCACAAATAATCTTGTTTATAGTCAGTACTGTCCTTCAGAACATTGGGACGAAAATAGCCAAATGTTTTGGAGTAGAAACTGAAAATTTTCTTGAATTTTGTCTGTTGGCTCCAAAATTATCATTCATTTCCAAAAACCAGAGCCAACAGACCAATTTAAGAAAATTTTCAGTTTTTACTCGAAAAAATTTTGCTATTTTTGTTCCAATTTTCAGTTTTTACTCTGAATATTTGGATATTTTTGTCCCAATCTTCTGAAGGAATGTGCAGACTATAAACAGAAATATTTTGTGAATTTAGATAAAAAGAGGGAACTGGTGGTGAAAGGTTAAGGTTGCGTTTTAGGTATGTTGGAAACGACCTACGTCACAAGACGTTCCAAGTTGCTAAGACGCACTACTGTACAATGTATTTCTATGGGCTCTGCGCGAGCTGCTGTGAAACGCCGGTGGAGCCGGTGAATGCAGCTTAAGGCGAGAAAACAACACAATCTCAACTTTGAAGTAATCCTGAACAACCAAATTTAAATAAACTGCACACGCAGGGATAATCTTGTTGCACTGTTCACGAGTCTCAATAACCGTCTCAAAGTACCATTTCCTGAGAGTTTTCGGCCTTTGTTTTCACTGTGATGGTTGCCAGGCGGGGAAAATGCCTGGATGTTCGCCCCCGAGAATAGAATAGAAGTACAACAGTTGTGTATTACTGTAGTTAATATATGGCATTTATTAATTGCAGGTATTGTATTGGTTGCTATTAATCCATATAAAGAGCTTGATATATATGGAAATGAATTCATTCAATTCTACAGTGGATGTAATAGAAATAGGATAGACCCACATGTATATGCTATAGCAGAGGAAGCCTATAGTAGCATGTGCAAGTAAGTGAACTGTATTCAGCTTATGGTCACGTGCCGTAACATGTCATGTTTGTGACTTATAATTTGTCAGTCTTGTTTACGTTTTGTGCGTGACTGGTTTGAAAGAATTGACCAATTGCACGTCATAATAATATAGATTGTTACAAACAAATTGTAGTTGTTCGCTGCTGATGTATAAAAATATACATGTATGCGTTCCTGTTGATAAAACAATTTATCGGCAACGTTGCCACGACAGACTGCGAGGTAGTGCTGATCAATAAGTGACATTTGTTACCAGAAATTCATATGCTGATTGGCATAAATTTAACATATGACGTCACAGTGTGACAACCTATGGATATCATTGGAAATACTGAAATATGTCCGTTGTCATTCATAATAAATATGTTTTTTATGCATGTAACAAAAATACAGGGTTTGATTGACCCAGAGTAATTTTTTCATCCACTATTGAAAAACATGTCTATACTTGGGATAGTTTAGCCCAGTGCTAAAGGGGGGGGGGGGGGTCTTAGCGATATTAAACCCCAAAATGTTTTTTCATGTGAACATGTGGTAAACCATTGCCTTACCAGATGACAGAAAAGTAGCTATATTATATACATATTTGAGACTGGGAGAAACAAGATTGTTTATATTAACTTGAAGGAAATAGAATCTTATACTTAGAAATTGACATAATACCAATAACATGTTCACCAATAACAAGCTCACGTATGGGTGAATTAGTCATTTATTTTCAACACCATTTCTCGGTTCATATTTCCAAAAACATTAGTCAAAGCTAATTAGAATGCCATAAAAAAGATACTGACTTCATGAAAATTATTTTGTAAATACCAGAAAGTATAAATAGAATGTGATCAACTAATTTAAATTTGAACTTCTCAGGTATGAACTGATGCTGGGTTTAGTCTGATGATCGATAATGGCTACTTTGTCATTTAGTCCATTTGTCAGCACATATGAACAAATATATATACCTCCTAGATTCCACATATATGTACCGAGTATAGATGCAATGGGCTTGCATTAAGAATAAGTCGAAAATATCTTTCTTTTTTTTTTATGTGTACCTGGGGTTGACTTTGGTTTGTTTTGTTGTAGGTTTGAACATAATCAGTCCATCATTGTGACTGGTGAAAGTGGTGCTGGCAAGACTGTGTCTGCCAAATACGCCATGAGATACTTTGCTACAGTGGGTGCTGGGCCTGGTGAATCGGATACGCAAATGGAGAAAAAAGTATTGGCTTCAAATCCAATCATGGAGGTAGGTAAAAATAATTAAAAAAAAAAAGTGTGCCTTCTTCCACGACATTTAAACTAAAGTCCTGCGTGTTGGATGATGCTTCAGCAAGTTAGCAAACTTAGGGACGACGTCAAAAGATCGATGTCGGATAAATAACTTATTTCCTTTAGTTTGGGGGTGGGGGGTGGGGGTTTTGACCTCAAAAAGTTTTCATCCTACAAAAACGATTTTATTTTTTAATGAAGTCAAAACAATCTCGGAGTATTTGTAGTTCGTTTTTTTTCTATCCAATCATGGGCAGAAATAACCGGAAAAG